AGGGGCGGGGCAAGGATGAGGGGAAGGGAACGTACCTGAAGAATAGGCGAATTCCCCTTTTCTCTATTCTAAACTTCTTTGTGGAATTTTTACCAGAAAACCGTCAAAAGCAGACCTCCTGCATCGCAACCCCATCAATTCTCAAAAATACGAGTTGATTTTTATTGTTCTCGACGTGAGCTTCAATGGACCCCTGTAAACATCGCAAATACAAGTTCCGTTTACGTAGGTCGGAGAGCTAACCATTGACTGTGCTTTGAACTCCTCTGCAGGTCACTCTTTTCAGGTTTCAAATGAAGCCTACCCATTCGTTCAGTGGGCAAAAGAAAGAGGAGCTGTGTTATTTGATCTCGAACATCGGTTTTACGGCCAAAGTCGTCCAACTGCGTTAGTATAGTTTTTCTAAATAATCGTGCCATCTACCAAGATAAGACTGCCACCCCAACACGGCCTACTCTTTTCCGATTTTACGTTACATAGCGGTGGACTTGTTTCAGCGATCAGTCGGTGGACAATCTGCGGTTTCTAAGCAGTCGTCAAGCAATTGAAGACATAGCCTATTTTATTCAAACAATGAATCAGAAGTACAACCTTGGCAACGCATCTTGGATAACATTCGGAGGGTCATATTCAGGTTCATGGCTCAATATTATTCCGTAAATAGACCCCGAAGATGAAGAGAAAAGAGAACGAGGGAGAAATAAAACATGTTTCTAGGTGCTCTATCCCTCTGGGCTCGCCAGCAACATCCAGAACTGATCGTCGGAGCCGTTGGTAGCTCAGCTCCAGTTGAAGCGGAAGTAGATTTTTGGAGTGAGTAGTTTACACGTATACTGCAAAAATTATGTGTTTATAATCTATTTTAATTCATATGTATAACATATTTGTAAAATTTTGCATATAATATTAATGCATATAATTACATAATGGTAATTATATAATTGTAACAAACACAAAAAGGCACAGTCCAGGATGAGAGGTGGATGAACTCTTTTAGTGTGCAGGATGAAAGGTTGAGGCAAAATGACTCGGCTGACGCGATCAGGGCTGCTACCCACGCTATTCCGCTTTTCGTCAAGCGCATTATGAGAGTGTCTGCGCCTTCTTATCAGCGGTAGCCTCTCGCTTATCACCTCTTCTTGGGCTCAGTCTCCTATTGTCTTAGCACAACCGAGGCGAATAAATGATGAACCCCCTCAACTTGAGCGTTTTGAACAGATTCTTTCCCATTTTTCTTCAGAGCCGGTCCATTTCACACCAATGCATCGAGTTTCATGGGCGAGAACCACAACACTTAGATCATGGAGCGCGCGTCAAGCTTGAAAAATTAGGAAAATTCAAGGAGTGCCTGAAAGCACTTATTTTGGAAAATGAACATTTCCATTAACAACAGACTTGTTAAGCCTCTGAAGGCCTCCTTTCGAAGAACTTTGCGAAGCGAACCTAACAATGTAAATCTCGGGTAAGATAGGTTTGGAAGAGCGTTCACTGATGAAGCTAGAGGTGAAGCTAGAGCTGGGTGGTCTGGAAAAGAGAAGAAAGCAAGAGAAACCCCGATTACGCCCCGAATAAGGACCCCCTCTATTTCAGCCGCATTCCACCTTGGGATAGAGAAGGGCGTGTTGGACGAGTTTCTGCGAGCTTAGCTCCAGTTGCTCCAGCGACAATGACACTGGACCGTAACTGTGCCCGCGCTTTAGAAGCAGCGTCATGTGGCAATCGACAGCGGAAGGCGGGGCTTGCGGACGAAGGAGTGGATTGCGGGTCGAGTGAGCTTCCAGCGCCTTTGTCGCGCACTTTCAAGCCGCAAAAGGGGCGCGACATCAACGCTTGCCTACTACGTTCGGGTATGGAACAGGTGAACGTCCCTGATTCCGGAGCCTGCTTTCTAACACATGCCACGCGTGCGATCGCGATTAGGTCAATAGAGTAACTAAGGTGACACCTAGTTCAGAGCGAGGTGGTTGCAATTGCTGCCTCTAGCGCTGTATATCCCTATCTGTTTATGAAAGTGCACACAAACAGGAAGTACTCAGTTTCCTCACTTCTTCTAACTTACTCACTCTCCTACTTTTGTTCTATTTTCTGAATATCCGGTGATTCGTTTTGCGATCGAGTACATCAGATATCACCTAAGTTCTGCTGATTAAAGCATGAAGGATAAAGCATTTGCCGTTGATCAATCCCTTTTTGGGATGCGGCACGCATTCTACTTCCATTTGTACATTCGTAGTGGCGTTTGAATGCGATGTGGCCTATACAATGACTTGCGGGGGCCAGCCGATGTACAAGTCAGTGTTTTTATCCTCCCAGACAAGTCTGGTACCAATTAACCGACCCCGGAGGGATGGAAGGCTTGGTTGGCCCGGGCGACTCACGACCCAGGATTCGATCCCGGACGTGGTAAGCAGCCCCACTACACCACCGCTGCCCTGTTCTGCTGGGTGATTGGTTTCAAATAAGTATAATATAAACAGTACATGAGCTCGACGTTCGATAAATCTTGGCATCGTGTGTGGTCTTTTTGGATATGCTTCTGGAGCCACAAGCCAAGATGGTACAACAACTTTATTCGGCTAACGTTTCGGCTTGGTCGCCTTCGTCAGAGCCTGGAAAGTCAAAGATCAGTGCGACCTACCGCAGACATCATTTCAAACTTCGAAATAGTCCCCATAGACCCGTAGCCTCCAGGGGGCGCCATAAATCACAAACACCAGTCAACTCACCTTAGAACGCACGGTAGGATTTTGCTGAGACCACCGCTAGACTGACTCGCTGTGGGTGAGCGAAAGGTGCGAGTTCACTGGTTATGGCTAGGCCTTCATCTTTCCTATGTATTAATTTTTGGATTTTTGGCGCTGATCCAAATATAATATAAACATAAAATAATATAATATTCAAAGCAAGTTTCTCATTAATTTTAGAGTACATGCAAGTGGTTGAGGACTCTCTACGGTCGTACAGCAATGATTGTGCCGAGAATGTGCGAGTCGGATTCGCGCAGATGATCGACATGATGAACACTGAACTTGGCCGAGAACAGTTAATCGGAACTTCTCCAGCTAGGACACAATTTCTGATTTATTATTTTGACATATTTTTCGGTATATTCGACTGGGCTATTTATGTCGTGCTCGTGTCAAGTGGCGTTTGGCGCTTCTCTAATACGTGTTTGTTTTATGTAATCTTCTCACTTTGCGTGAAACTGTATTCATGTCAACCTGTGACCTCTCGACTAACTGAGAGTAGTGGCCGGTTCATTAAAACTTTTATGTGAACAAATTCTTTGCTTACAGGCTCGATCCACCCTTCTCAAATCTGTCACTGACATATAATGATATACAAAACTTCTATTCAACGATATATGGTAACTTTCAAGGAGCCGTTCAGTACAGCGGGAAGACCGAAACAAAATTGGCGGTTGTGAACGCCACTGTTTATGATATCAGTTAAAGGACCCTGCGCGCGGAAAAAGCGCCTCCGCCTCCTCACAGAAAAACGATACCCCTTAGGCCCCTAGCCTCATGAGCATAGCAAAAAGAACGGAACATAAGCGTTAGTTTCGATAATACTAATCCTACACACAAGACAAAATGATCACTCTTTCCGTGGAAGATTCCTTTAAGGTATCGTTTTCTGTGGTAATGAGGGCGGAGCTTTTTCCGTGGAAGGATTCCTTTAAGTCGATTTCGTGAACTGTCTCGGTTACAGGGTCCTTACGCTACTGGCTTTGGCATTCCAGACGTCTGCCGAATCATGAACAATAAGGATAACGATCAGTTGACCAGTCTGCAAAAAGTCAATGCCTACATGGCTCGTAAGCAGTGCTTTTGCCTCAGTTTAATATCTGGAGTTTCTAGAAATCAGCATTAAGTGTATTCCAATAGAGAAAGAAGCAAGGAAGGTAAACCCAGCTACTGACCAATTTAGAAATGTATGGAGGATTTGTCTCAACCGACAATAGCTACAGCGACATGATAGATTACCTACGTATTACCGAGTTTGGCAATGATCCTCTCTTTGATTGTAAGTATGCTCTCTACTCAGAGTACTGGATTTAATTTTGTTGAGCTCTGGCACGTGCGGTCACGGCGCGGTACCCCTTCCCACGTACAGTAGCGGTCAAAAGTTTGGAAACTTTTTTATTTTTGATCTAGCGTAGCCGATAGACAATGAAATTGTCCCGAATTCACATATTATATACAGAATCAAGTGTAGATTACGATGAGTAACATGATTTTTTGAAAACGAGAATCGCATTTGAAAAATACGAATTTTTATAAGAAATGGCGCGTCAAAAGTTTGGAAACTTCTCAATTCCAAATTCGGCAAAATAGCTCTCGAATCTACATGATAAATTAGTTATTCGATGAGTAGCTGTGAATTTCTATGTCAGCGTTTTTATTGACATGGAGTTGATTATAAAATAATTTTAGGACTTTTAAGTCGAACCCTACACACTGTGAACTAAATCACATTGTTTGGTGGGATTCTTAACTGGAATGTGGGTTGAGCGACATGCCAGTTCTTCCGTGGGATGTAGAACTCAATTAGACTTCAGATCTTGACTTGGTCGCTTCATAACAGCTTCTTTTTCTGGGTTTAGGAAGGCGGCAGTGAGGAGGTAGGCCTGCATTGGGTCATTTCCGCGATAGAAAACCCATCTTTTCCGGCTAGTTCTGACTATCGAAGGGAAGCATTGTATTCTACAGACTATACTTGTACTTAGCCCAACCCACATTTCGCTGGATACATAGAACTGGGGAATCGCCGAATGGTCGGACACATCTTCATCCATGACAATACTTCCACTATTTCTGACTGTTGGAATCTTATACTCAAAATGAGGTTTCCATTTGACAAAACACTTCACAGGGTCCACAACATCATTTCTAGGAAGATAGAAATCCCATTCGTCGCTGAGGACAAAGTTTTACCTCTCGCCTTCGGTCCATGTTAGCCGTTAGTGTGCGGAAGCCAGTTGGGCCATCCTGCTCTTGAAGCCCAACAATGGCTTCTTGTTGGGACATCATCCGTAATATTCACCAGGTCGCGGCCGATGTTGGGCTGCACTTGGACTTTCATATGATTAGGAATAAATC